CAACATCACAGTTCAAAGGCATCAATTCTTCTGTCATCCTTATTTATTGTCCAGCTTTCAGATGTATAGCAAGTGACTGGAAAGATCATGGCCTAAATCAGATGCACCTAAGTCCTCACACTGACATCATTACTCCTCAATAATTTGGAGAGTTCCCTAACTGCAGACTTTCCCAGTACATCTCCTAATATCCTGACTACTGAGTTTATTCATTAAAAATATCTTTTTAAAAAGATACAAATGACAACTTTATACATGGACCTCACCTGATGGGCTGCACAGGAATCTGTGGAAGGAATCATTGAAGCAGCTCAATACTAGCAGTCAAAACTATGTCAGGGGCAGACTGTGAGTCAGATCATAAATTACTCATATGCAAGTTTAAATTGAGGCCAAAGAAAATGAAAATAAGCCCATGAAAACCAAGATATGATCTTGAATCTATTCCATCTGAATTTCAATATTATCTTAAGAATAGGTTTGAAGCATTGAACACCAATGATTGAAGACCAGATGAGCTATGGGATGATATCCTTAATATCATCCATGAAAAAAGCAAAAGGTCTTTCATTGTTATACAGTCCATCCCAGACCATTTGACTACGCAGCTCTTATTCTGGACTCTTGCACTGCAAAATGGAAGGGGGTGGGGTGTGTAGAGGAAAATATGCAACAATAAATGAATGGAAATCCAAGTTCTTTATAAATTTTCATTAAAATATCAATTTAAAAAAGCAAAAGGTCATTACAAAGACAGAAAATAAAGACCAAAATAGATGTCGTAAGAGACTCTAAAAATAGTACTAAAGCATTGAAACCCAAAACAAAAAGAAAACATGCTTAAGTGAAAGCGCTGAACAGAAGATTTCAAAGTGCAGCTCAAGAAGACAAAGAAATGTATTAAAATGGAATGTTTGGAGGGCTAGAATTGGAAAGTAAAAAGGGAAGAACTTGCTAAGTATTTCCCAAGCTCAGAGAACTGAAAAACAAATTTAAGCCTCCAGTCACAATATTGAAGGATGCTATGGGCAGTATCATGGTCTTCTCAATTATTGTTATGCTTCAGAGAGTTGAACAATGACTAAGGATGACAGAAAAAGAGTTGTGGGTGCTGGAGAAGAGTCTTGAATATACCATGACTGCCAAGAAAACAAATAGGTCTGTCTTGGAGAGGGTGAAACCAAGTCTCTCCTTGGAGGCTAGGTTTTTGAAGCTCTGCCTCACTTATTTTGGGCATGTGGCCAGGAGAGACTGGTTCTTGGAAAAGGACATCATACTTGGAAAGGTAGAGGGACAGTGCAGGAGAGAAAGACCCTGGATGAGATGGACTGATACAGTAACTGGGGCTATGTGCGTTAGTGTTTCAGAGTTAGTGAGACTGGCTCAGGACAGGGAAGGGTTGAGAGCTGCTATGCACAGGTTTGCTATATGTCGCAGGTGACTCAGTGGCACATAAAAACAGTAACATTCTATGAAAGGCTTGGAAGCAGGAGTGGCATCCACTTCCTAAATGGCATGCCTCCAGAAACTCTAAGAACTTTGATAAATCTCAATGGTTGTAGAGGGGCTTCAGCCTTTTGTTCATGGAGTTGCTATGAGTCGAGCTCTACTCAAAGGCAATCAACAACAAAAACAATGGGCAATATATTGAATGACCCAGAAAGCAACAAAAGATGGAGGAAATACATAGAGTCACTGTACCAAAAAGAACTGACACTGAAAAATTCCAGGAAGTACCATATGAGCAGGAGCCAGGGGTAACAAAGGAGGAAGTGGAAGCTGCAATTGAAGGAATTGGCTAAAAGTAAAGCCTCAGGAATCAAGGAGATACCAACCAACTTGTTCAAATTACCAGATGCAGCCAGGGATGCATGCGCTCACCTGTACACCAGAAAACTTGGAGGACAGTATTCTGGCCAACCCATTGGAAGAGATCCATATTTGTTCCCCTTCCCAAGACAGATGATCCAACAGAATGTGGAAATTACTGAACAAAATTAATATCACATATAAGCAAAATACCTATGAAGATCATTAAAAAATGGCTAGAACAGTACATAGACAGAGAACTGGCAGAAGGTCAAGGAGGATTTAGGAGGCAGTGGTACCAGGAATATCATTGCTGATGCCAGATGGATCCTGGATGAAAGAAAAGAATATCAGAAGAATGTCTATTTATGGTTTATTGACTATGCAAAGGCTGTTCATGTACAGCAGATTGTGACAGTGGTGCAGGATCAGGAAGGGTTTCATTCCTGTTGCATGTCCTGTGTCAGGACTGACTGACAGGCACCTAACATCCCTAACATATTAATGATCACAGCTTCTATTCACCAATGAAGTAGCTGGTATCTCTCTAAATGGGCCATAGCAAGAATGTAGTTCACTTATTTTCTAGTCATCAACAAACTCGTAACTCTAGAAACTAATCAGCAAGGGCTTGTCTTCTAGTGAATGAACCAGTACTTTTTAGTTAACCATGACAGTAATTTTCAAAAGGGGTCATTTCAGTCTCTAGGGGATATCTGGGCATGTTTTGAAATATTTCTGGTTGTCACATCTTTAGGATGATAAAGTAGACATCGTTGCTAAATATCCTAGTCTCCACAAAAAATATTACCTGGGCCCAAACTGTGAACCTTTAAAAACTTTGTTGTTGTTGTTGTTGTTGTTGTTATATGCCATTGAGTCATTTGTGACTCATAGCGACCCTATGTACAACAGCCCTAAACCCTGCTCAATCCTGTGCCAATCGCATTGCCTCT